ACTCTCATAACACTCACTTCAAAAACAATCATTCAACTGAGGCCCGGCATGGCCATGTGGTTAGGGCACTCGACTCGCAATCTGAGGGTCACAGGTTCGAATCTCCGTCACACCAAACATGCTCGCCCTTACAGCCGTGGGGGCGTTATAATGTGACGGTCAATCCCACTATTCGTTGGTAAAAGAGTAGCCCAGGAGTTGGCGGTGGGTGGTGATGACTAGTAGCCTTCCCTCTAGTCTTACACTGCTAAATTAGGGACGGCTAGCGCAGATATCCCTCGTGTAGCTTTGCGCGAAACTCAAAAACAAACAAACATTCAACAGAACTTTGAAAAGAAATGTTAAACATAAACGGAGTAGGTAATAATTGATCGAGTTTCAAAAAGAAATCAAAATAACTTGTAAAATTCCATTTTAGAAAATATATTATGTTATACCGTTTAATACATAAAGTTTAGTTTTGGTGTATTTAGTCTTACTAAACGATAAATTTACATTTCTTTACAAGGAAAGGGCGATATTAATTATATATATTATCAGAATTATTACTCCATTTGTCATTTAGTGTTTTCATGGTCTTTGCGTTTCCGTCAAGTTCAATATAACCCATGAAACTTTGTGAATAAACATGTGATATGTATTTTACATATAGGTAAGGGAATAGAAACACACTCCAGGCAAGCGATAGAGAAGAACTCAAGTAAAATAAGCACAACTACACCTAACCTGAGCGTCACCAGGAAATGTATAGATAGCATTTCTACAGGAACAGCTGCTCTAAAACTACAGTTGACATACTAAATTCATTGATTTCTCATTAATTCGCTTGAAAGTACATGTATCAAACACACGTGTGTGAACCTGTCAGTATTCATTACGTTAACTTTTACTTTTAGACATCTAAAATGTTAGTGGCCAAGCAAGATTATACACAACTCACCACTCCAGAAAAAAAAGTATGGTTTAAGACCAATTCAAATTTAACAAACACTGACTTGAGATAAATTGAAATATAAGGTGAAACAAGTTTTAGTTAACTTTAGATACAATAAATATTTTATGTATGTTACGTATCCTAGTATGTTTGTTTGTTTTGAATTTCGCGCAAAGCTACACGAGGGCTATCTGTGCTAGCCGTCCCTAATTTAACAGTGTAAGACTAGAGGAAAGGCTGCTAGTCATCACCACCCACTGCCAACTCTTGGACTACTCTTTTTACCAACGAATAGTGGGATTGACCGTCACATTATAACGCCCCCACGGCTGAAAGGGCGAGCATGTTTGGTTAGACGGGGATTCGAACCCGCAGATTGCGAGTCGAGCGTCCTAATCACCTGGCCATGCCGGGCCTTGCATTTTTGGTTATTCTCGTGTAATGAACCACATCGAAGAGTCTCTAACAGACTTGCATTTTTATTGAAGCGAAATATATTTTAGGATTAGACTAGATCTGTTCTAGTCGTTCTGATTTATTATATACATAGATAGCTAGTTGAATATAACTAAACGATATAATACACAATGTGTGCATTAACTAAGTGTTTTAATTTGAAGGATATATATGTGTGTGTGTGTGTGTGTAATGAACTGGAACGAACCATTTGTTAAACGTAAGCACAATTAGTTTAGCAGATATAAACTTGCGTGTCAAGCAGCAAGTAATAAATTGTCGAAAATACGTAACTCAAACATTCAAAAGTATTGTCGGGGGGTTTTCACTTTAAACAAAGGTATGCCGGTAGCGCGACCTAGCGGCTTCGATATTTTCACATACTAGTTGGGTATGTTGCAGTTGATGTTTTAGTTACATTGAATAATCCTTCTAGTGGAATGACCTGATATATGTATGTTTTCGTTTCACTGTAGGTCTTTTCGTTTATCCAAGGACAACCATTACAGCTGCTTTATCGCGGTTGTGAAACGTAGGTGCGTATAATGTTGGTTTGTTTGATAGAATTAAAAAACAAAACAGAAATCTTGTTCGAATATAAATAACAATAATAACGTAGATTTTTTAAGATTTGCTCTTTATAAACTGTCACGTAAGGATTCGTATTTAACGTTTGTTTTCCTTTTTTTTTCTTCTCTCTCTCTCTCGATGGAGCTTAAAGTTTCAATTTTATTTTCAGATAATGTAATACAACACGTTATGTTTCATCTCTTTTTCTTGACAAGAATCGTTTGACTTGAATTAAGTAAATAATTCTGCTTATACATCTTTTTTATTTATCAAATACTTCAATTCAGAAATAAGCAATCAACAAACACTAAACAAATATAAATCGTTAAACATAGATAACACTTTAGTTTCGTGATATCAGAAATATTCCTAACGTGTCCTGGGATATTACCAAGGAAGATAATTTTTATAAAACTTTTATGGATTTTAGTTTTAACCACCTTTTTATTTTAGTTGTGCTCTGTATTTGCTAGTGTCCTACAACTTTCGGCAACTATAAAGACAGTACAGATTTCGAAGTGGGTTTTGAGAAACCAGGTGTCGCTTCATATTTCACTACATAAGTGTGATTGTTTTTAATTTGTCAAACCTTGTTTCAAATGGCTGGAGTCGCCCCCAGTCGAGAAGAACTAACTACGTAACCCTTTTTTAATAATCATATCTTTTACAACTAATTGTACGTGTTGAGTATCCTAACGTATTTGTATTTACCAATTGTTCTTAACGCAATCAATTAATCATACGTATCATTATATTTTATTACAATAACATTAACTCATAAAACTATTAGTACAACACAATTAAATACAAAAAAAATACTAATTTATACTTAATGATAACTAATAAAATAAATGACGAGAGGATCTAGTTCTACTACTTGAGATCAGTGAAATTGGGGGCATATCATCTGCTGATGGCGCCCCCATAAATTACAAGCATAAATAAATTTGTCAAACCTCGCGTGTTTAATTCTTTGGTTATGTGATTTCGAGACTTTGGTGAATTCTGGACTGTAGTGACTTATGAACTTAGATTCGCTCAAACACTTAATATTTTTCTCGTTTGTCGTTACAGTTTTGCAGAAAAGGAAGAATCTTCCGTTTTGAACATTTTGAATTCAGGATTCGACAGAGTGAGTAATTTTAATGTTTTTTTTCATTTTAATTAATATTAATGGAATAAACAACTAACATTTGTAAAAAGGGAGTTATTTCCTTGAATTAATTGTCCATTCTTTTAAACAAGCCCAAAACATAAAGAGTCGCAGAAAATATACAGGCAGTTTTAAAATTAGAGTATAAACTACACTGTGGTAAGGATAATAATGTACCGTAGTAAGAGGGGTATCAGGACCCATACCGCGTTAGAGATACGCCATCTACCGGATTTAAAAATTACATTTACGATGCTCATGTGTAAAATAGAGATAAAAAAAAGGGTAAAATGTTAAGAATATATATGGGTACTCAAGCCCACACCGTCCTACATATAATACTATAATTCAACATCTGCGCCAGGTGTGAGAAAGTAGTTGTTCCTAAGGGCAGAGAACATTAAAATTGATCACTCTTGAATTTGGTATTCCATCTTTTATAATCACATTTCTGTATGAGTAATATAATAAAACCTGAGGTGTCTGGGTTAAAATTTACCACTGTTAAACGATTTGTTTACAAATGCTAAAAAATTGGTACAAATTCATCGAACCAATAGAAAGTGATTTGCTGTTCACAGCACAAAAACAAAAGTTTCAATCACAAGGGACCGAACAGGTTCTGTGACCTTATTCAGGAGACACTTAACAATTCAGAAAATAACCTAAATAACTTAATAATAGCTTACACTTTTACACAAGGTAGGCCTATTGGCATTAAAGTCTTATTATCATGCAATCAATGTAAAAATTGACAAAAATCATGAAAATCTAAGACCTTTACGTTTTGTAAGAAAAAAGATTATGAAGACCTCATAAAAACATCTAAAATATAGTGAGTAAATTAACTTTTACTGAAATTATTAAAATACTATGAACAATAAAAACTTACAAAAGCATCTTAAATTTATAGTACGAGTACAAATATAAACGAAATATCAAATCTATTTACAACGTTTTCTACAACAGAAAACTGAGGGGGTCCAACTTTTATTTTTTTTCTTGCGAGAGCTCTATAACAGACTTTTCTTATATAACTCTTTCTATAGAAATAGCGAAATCTTGAGGTTCTTCATGTTTTTCGTCGGGCATGGCTGTAAATCGAAAAGTCAGGAATTCGGGACGTGATGCCACCGACCACGCCCCTCGATTTCAGTTGTAGGCTCAATATACAAGTGACAGTAATTTCTGTTCTATTGGTTAAAAGATCTGAACAAAATCCTGTGACGGCAAATGCTATTGGTTACCTTCCCTCTGAGATGACTATACCTGAATATTTAGGGATCTTTGGTATGGCCGCTTAGCCCGATGCGCACAAGGAGCCATTCATGTTGCAATTTCCATAAATTTCCAGTGGCACAGTGTGATGTCCGCGGGCTTGTACTGCTAGAAACCGGGTTTCGATACCCGTGGTGGGCAGAGCTCAGATAACCCTTTGTGTAACTTTGTGCTTAATAACTATCATCTGAAACATCTTTGAATTAGTGTTGATGCTTATCAAATATAAAAAAATATCACGCAAATTTACATCTAAAGTGCGGTCGAAGAATGATGTTATAATCGTATCTTTATTTGCTGCTAAACTTTTTTTTTCTTTGTTAGTTCTTTCCCAAAACGATTTCAAGGTAATACAAACTAAATTATTATATAAACACGTTTTTTTGTTTTTTGGAAGAAATAATCTTCTTTAGAATATTAATTTGCATTTCTCCAAGGTTTCTGTTTGACAATAAGAACATTCAGACTGTTCTTACTGTAATAATTGGACATCTGTAGGATTTATTCGCGTTAGTACATATAGCTTTGAAGCACGTTTATACGTACGAACTCAAGCCGTGGGCGAAGTATATTAATAATGTTTATTCATCACCATGCACAAACCTTAGCTGCATTTGGATTTTACATACATTTTAATAACTTATTAGGCTTACAATGCAGTTTCTGTATCTTCATTGATATTATTAGTTATAATGTTTATCGTATTTTATTTTGTTTTTTTATTAGTTTATAAAGGTTATTTTGCATTACTAGCTTAATATGTGATTTTAGGACTAACCCAAATTTCTTTAGCTCGCTAAAACTCGTGATATGTTATTGGAATTACGGCCGAAAATTTCGATAATATCCAAGGTACCCATCTGATAAATCAATGCATCCTATTATAAGTTTTATTTTTTTCTTGCGAATTGTTTCCATGATGTTCTTCAATCCTAGTTAGTCTTTTAAATCACATCAGATACAATATTTCTTAAGGTATGTTTTAGTTCTGGTGTATGTAGTTACCTTGCTTTGAACAGAGGTTATTAATAACACAGGCCTGCGATGGTTTTATTGTCTTGAAATTTTACATGTTCTACAGTAATTCCTGTACGTTCAATTCGAAAATGATATCCATTTTTCTCCATCACGTACAGAGATTTCACGAAACGTCATAACGTTGAGACTAAAAGACGTAGATTTCACACAAATAATCAGGATCAGTGAGAATGTATATTCGTTTGACATCAATGTTCTTCCCTTTTCTTCAGTTTATTTGTATTTTTTGTTAACAGACATAGTAACAAAAAATGTTCATTGTGGTAAACGAAATAATAATTTAATCTAAGTAAGAGTATATTTTTTTTTTCTTCCCGATTTCTAAAAAATCCTTACGTGACAGAAAAAATAATATTATTTTCGAAATCTGCGTAGCTGAATTATGGAAAATTCGTTATTAAAACCAAAACAACTTTTATGGAGTTTAAATTCGCAGGCCTTTGTAATTGGTACGTAACTTGGAGCTATTACTGCATGTATCAGGGTGTAAGCAGTTCAAAATTGAACAGAAGCTATTAATGATTAACACAGTATGATTAGCAGAGTATGATTAGCGATATCAAAAATAATACTCTCCACATCATCCATGCCGATTAAGCGCCATACTTACTTATACAATATTTTAATATTTTTTAAGATAACTTTGGATGGATATTATCATGAAAGTTAAACGTTCGTTAAGATTTGAGTAGCTGGTCCAAACCCCAGCTATGTTACTATATAATGACTTTTTTTTTTCAGCCATGATACTAGACTACGACATTTTTTTTTCAGCCATAGAACTAGATTATAATTTTTTTTTCAAGCTGTATTACTAGACCACGACATTTATTTTATCCTATATTCTCAGCCATGGTATTAGATTACAATATTTATTTCCCCTTTACTCTCAACCATGTTATAAGATTACAATATATATTTCCCCTTTAGTCTCAACCATGTTATAAGATTACAATATTTATTTTCCCCTTTAGTCTCAACCATGTTATAAGATTACAATATATATTTTCCCCTTTAGTCTCAACCATGTTATAAGATTACAATATTTATTTTCCCCTTTAGTCTCAACCATGTTATAAGATTACAATATTTATTTTCTCTTTTAGTCTCAACCATGGTATAAGATTACAATATTTATTTTCCCCTTTAGTCTCAACCATGTTATAAGATTACAATATTTATTTTCCCCTTTAGTTTCAACCATGGTATAAGATTACAATATTCATTTTTCCCTTTAGTCTCAACCATGGTATAAAACAATATGTATTTTCTCTTTTAGTCTCAACCATGGTATAAGATTACAAGATTTATTTTCTCCTCTTTTTTCCTAACAACGACACTCGATGACGACATGTATTTTCTATTTTTTTTTTCATCCGAATTGTTCATAAAAAGGTTACATCTTAATAACATTTGTCCTTAAAGAATCATTAATGGCGAGATAAGCTATAAATTCAAATCGTTGGAGGCTAAAAAAATATAAAATGGGTTTGATCATTAGGTTTGTTTGAAAGCTGATTAAAAGTTCTATTTTGTTGGAAAAGCCCACAAATAAATAAAACACCGCTGTGGCCACATTTTAGATTTTCTTATTATTTGTGGTTTTTTTTTACTGATACAATTAACCTTGTTCGTTTGTGCCATTTATTTTTGTTCACGTCATAGAGCTTGTTTGCTTATTTGTTAAGTACAAAGCTACATAGTAGGCTATCTGTGCTGTGCCCGTCAAAACTCTGTTTTAAGCGCTATAATATTTCAGACTTTCCGCTGAACCAGGGGGGGGGGGGGGGAGGCAAGTCGTAGCCTTTTTAATAACTTAACTTAGTTTTTATCTGTGCTTTAAGATTCATAAGTAGTTTCTGGTGTAATTACACTTTCCTGTACACATGCCATTCATAAGTAGTTTTTGGTGTAATTACACTTTCCTGTACACATGTCATCCTTCTTTCGTCAAGGATTTGATATCTAAATACTTTCTCATTTCAATTACTTACTGAACATTTATAATTCCGACACCTTCTGATATATACATGTGTGTGTGTGTGTGTGTCTAGACATTTGCTGATTATTACTGGGCTCAAGTGATTTAATTTTGATCAGATGACTTAACTCATTTCACTGAATGTAAGATTATCAAATTATATAAGCATTTTTAATGAAGAGTTAATCTAATAAAAGTGTTCAATCAAAGAAAGTTTCATGTCCTTTTAATTACTGTGTCAATGGCGTTCTTTATGTCGACATCTCTCTTTATTAGGAAATAGAGTCACTAATCAAATCAGTAGATTACTGAGGACATTAACTTTTACTCTGTACAAAGTCATTCGTTGATTTGATTAGTGGGTTTTACCCCGTGGTACGGCAGATGTTGGGGGGGGGGACATGTTTTAGTCATATTATTGTGAGCTCAATGATGCTGATTTTATTTCATCGAAACATTGTGTTTTGTGTCCATTTAAACTTTTAAACACGTCTTTGTTAAGCTTCTAAACATTCGTGGTATACAAGAACGCATCAGAATGACCAGATCTTATACAGAGGGTTAAGTACGTTATACTTAAACGATTTTGAATCCTCGCCACATCCGATCATATTGATGATTGTACATCTTAACAATAGCCCTAGTAGTTTCTATTGCAAAATGTTATCTTGTCCAAAGCAAACCACATCTCTGTGCTTGCTTTCCATGATCCATCTAATGTACGCTTCCCAGCGTCTGTTTGAATAGTCCAATCGCACAGATATCATAGGTGCTACGTACAGCGAACTTGACCGGTATGCCTTCGTATGGAATACCATGAATATCCGTTTTATTCTCTAGCTGCTTGAGGTATGTGATGGTTGAACGAAAGGTGAATAGGACCCCTATCTTGGTGAACCCATATCCTGTTGGCCTCGTTTTCAGATGAAGATTCTTCTTGATTATTTTGTATACTGTTGCCTGAGTCAGTGGGTGGCTTTTGCTACTGATCTTTGTGCTCGTGGATTCTCACCTATTACAAAACGCTGCACTTTGCTTACCATGGCTGAGGTACGACTTGTTGCAGATGTCTTTCTGGATGATTCTAGTACCTCAAGTTGATCCATACTCCACCAAGTCTTGGAATTTCTAAATCCATGGTCTGAACACATCTTTATGATCTGAGTATATAAATATTTTGCGTCGGAAAGGGCTGTTACATACTCTTACCAAAGGCAATCAGTTTTCGATGACATTACAAAATCTACGAAACGCCAAGCAATGTCAAAATGTTGTTCTGATACGTTCCGTTCCACTGAGAATGTATATGGATTGTGGTTGTCACGTGACTTGCTGAATCGCATATTTAAAACAGGATTATCTTTTTTCAGTGGCTTAGCCTTTTGTCAAACTCTTTAAAACTGTAGTTATAAAACCCTCAGTTATAACTTCAAACCCTCACCTCAAATAAAGATGTCAACTTCAAAATGTGGCATTTTACTAAGATCTAAAAGAGTTACACTTTCTCAATTTCATAAGTCCCATTGAAACAGTATCGAAAGATCAAACCATTTTTATTTGACTCATTGTTATAACTGTGACATGGTGGTAACAATTATCTACAACTATAACGTAGTAATAACAGTGCGTATAACATGGTAGTAACAATGCATACAACTGTAGCATGGTAATAACAGTATGTACTATGTATAACTGTAACATTGTAGTATGTGTACGCAACTGTGACATGATAATAAAAGTACATGCACCTATAATGTGGTAATAGTAGTAGTAGTAGTATGTAAGTGTCCAATGGTAATATCATTAAATATCTGTCTTAAGTGCTGAAATAACAGTTTATGAGTCTATGGACATTACGTAATTAGAATTGAACCACTTCATTTTTTACTACTTTTTACTAAATCAAATGTAACAGTAAACAGTACATATATAATGATCAGTAAATATTCTATTGTTGCTACTTGTAATAAATGATATGTAATAGTAAACAATATGTGCAGTATGGTCAGTAATTACTATATTGTTTGTTAATTTTACTAAATCATATGTAATAGTAAACAACGTGTGTACAATGGTCAGAAATTATCCTATTGTTTGTACTTTTGCTAAGTCTTGTGCAACAGTAAGCAAGTCAGTAATCATTCTGTGTTTGTTACAAGTGGTTTCTCGAGAGTTGTAGCCTTGCCGTGTGTTTGAATGAATTAATCCTGATTGAGGGTAACGAAATCATGACCCGCCTGAAACTCCAAGCTGCGCAGTCGCTCTTTACAGCACTGGAAAACTCCCATGATGCTGTTGTTGTAACCGGAAAGAACCAGGAAATACAGGTAAATAAAACTCTTGAGTCAGTTAACGAAACGTTTTATGGTTGTTGGAAATTATGGCTATTTTATTCAAATAGTGAACTTTAAAACCAAAGTTAAAGACTGTCAAAATTATATTCAACCTCAATAATTTTAGCGAACTTTCGACTCCTTTTCTGGCGCCTTTGTTAGGCCACGTATGATTTCTGCAATCAAAAATAACAGTGGATCAAATTTGTAATAATGGGATGATGGCTAGTGATTTGAACTTGTTGTTATTCTTATTTCTGTTTACCTGTTATTTTATTAATTGGTATTCGTGAAATAATACTGTATGGATTGTCATTAAAATGACTTGTTTAAAATATATATCATAAAGGAATCAAGATTTTGGTTTCAAATCAGAATACACAACCTTCGCCATCTTTAATTAAACTAATAGGTGTGATTGATATACTATCCAGTGTGACACATTATCGTAAACATTTCCAAAGCGTGAATGAATTACTGTTTAGTGTGACACATTATCGTAGACACTTCCAAAGCGTGAATGAATTACTGTTTAGTGTGACACATTATCGTAAACACTTCCGAGGCGGGATTGTTTTACTATCCAGTGTGACACATTATCGTAAACATTTCCAAAGCGTGATTGATTTATACTATCCAGTGTGACACATTATCGTAAACACTTTCAAAGCGTGATTGATTTACTATCCAGTATGACACATTATCGTAAACACTGCTAAAAGCATGATTGTTTTATTATCCAGTATGACACATTATCGTAAACACCGCCAGTTATCTTCTTAAGAAGTCAAAACAGAAGCTACTTGAAATAGAAATCCGTGTATTTGGTTTGGTAGTACGAGGGTTTGTAGGTTCAGATGTCATCAGTATTCACGTCTTTAAGAAACAATAACTTTGGTAGTACAAGGGTTTGTAGGTTCAGATGTCATCAGTATTCACGTCTTTAAGAAACAATAACTTTGATGTAATATGTTTATAACACTATCGGTATTACTGTTAATCTTTGGTAGTACAAGGGTTTGTAGGTTCAGATGTCATCAGTATTCACGTCTTTAAGAAACAATAACTTTGATGTAATATGTTTATAACACTATCGGTATTACTGTTAATCTTTGGTAGTACAAGGGTTTGTAGGTTCAGATGTCATCAGTATTCACGTCTTTAAGAAACAATAACTTTGATGTAATATATTTATAACATTATCGGTATTACTGTTAATGCATTACGTAAACTACGGATTTTTTTTCAGGCAATTCGATTATCCATAGATGTTAAAATAGTGAAGTTAAAAACAAATCTACCCTCTTGTGGTGACTCAACTGGTTAATAGAAATATAATCAAGTAATTTCTTCTTGTTGGAATAACTTTCAAAAAGCTTTAATTTACAGTGCTCAGCTGTTGTTGGGTTTATATCTAAAAATCTAATAATACAAAAAGTAAACAAGGGCTAAAAGGTAAACATTCCATTGGTTTAAATGTACAGCCATTAGCTAAAATTGTAAGAGAACATTAAATAATACTGTATAACCAGCTTTACACCTTATACATCAATAGAGTATTGTGAGTTATTATTATTGAAATATAAATAAAATAGTGCGATCAAACAAACATAAGTCAAACTTTGGATTTCAAGCGGATCTGAGTACTGGCCCAGCATGGCCAGGTGGTTAGGGTACTAGGCTCGCAATCTGCGTCACACCAAACATGCTCGCCCTTTCAGCCGTGGGGGCGTTATAATGTGACAGTCAATCCCACTATTCGTTGGTAAAAGAATAGCCCAAGAGCTGGCGGTGGGTGGTGATGACTAGCTGCCTTCCCTCTAGTCTTACACTGCTAAATTAGGGACGGCAAGCGTGTAGCTTTGCGCAAAATTCAAAACAAACAATCTGAGTACTACCCAGTTGCACAGTAAGTGGTCAAAATTTCCAGTTTAACAGGGAGAGTATAAAATATTAGTAAATTACGTTTTCTTTTAAGCTCTTGAGGAAAAGTGCATGAAAATTTGCTTCAAAGCAGAATGTTCAACATACAACCTGTTTTTAGCATAGTTTCTATAGAGACGATAATAAAGCTTCTGTTGTAGCTTCAAAACCACGTGCCACAAAGACATAACTTGACAGAAGACGTATTGTAGATGAAGTCAAGGCCTGGGAAGTTGTTTAGAGGACGTGACATGGAATGTGTGTGTATTGAAAGACATGTTTTTGTATGTGTCACTGCTTTTATGTTCTCTTTACTTGTCTCACTCACCTTCTGCTACAACATTTCTCTCTCTGCAGTATATGAATCAAGCATCTGAGCAGTTGTTGGGGTGTAATGCAGACGAAATGATTGGTAAGAACGCCTCACAACTTCAAAGAATTGACTCTACTAAAGCAGATATGATAGAAAACGTCAGCACGCACACGAAGAAAGGAATCGTAAGTTGTAGTAGTGGAGGTGTTTTCAATAAATGTGGCATATTTTCACAGAGGATATAGTAACACAGAATTTGATATTAAACGCATAAATTAACCATTCGTGGGTTTTTTGTTGTTGTTTTACTTTTACCCTAAACTATAGGAAATATGACCTGAACTGTTCGTTCTAAGTTGAAGATTTTTCTCCGTACAATAACAGTATTGCTGTCTCATCATCATCACTAAAATTATATCATCGACTGATCTCATATTACATGTTACGTTAACAATACATTATCTTCATCCTTATCTGATTTGGTAAAAGTAGTATTTCGTCCCAGAGCATAAATAAATCTGTTGAATTTTATGTTATCTCAAAGAAAATTGTTCCGAATGTGATATTTATGATAAGTTTCATATTTATAATTTCTGAGCATCTTTTATGTCTTTCTCCAGTATTAGAAATACTTGTGAAGTTTTATATAATTTATAGTATTCTTTATGAAAGCCCCCAGTAAGCCTGCGGACTTACAACGCTAGAATCAGAGTTTCGATACCCGTGGTGGGCAGAGCACAGATAGCCCATTGTGTAGCTTTGTGCTTAATTACAAACAAACAAACAAATCTTTATGAAAGAAAAATTACAACAGAAATTTGGGTTGAATAATAGATAATAACCCATAAGAAGAGACATTCGATCTACAGAACATGATGATATTGCAAATGTAGGTGTTGTAAAGAGATAATATCATGTTTATCTACACTTTTCTTACAGATTAAAGACGAAGTGTAGTATTGTGTGTGAGAGAAGATCTCACGAATATTACGTCATAAAATGTTGAACTAAAGACCAAGTAAAGTGGTTCCTGAATATCCATCGTATCTTACACCTCCTTAGCGATAAGCTTGATGCTTATGGAATTCGTGGTTTGGTCCCTGCGGAGAAAACAGTGCACATAGTCATTGTGCGGTTTTGCGCTAGAACACAAACAAACTGAATACTTGTTATTAAATATTATACAATTACACCCTTGTTTTCTCCTTATGCTTTGGATCCTCAGATCCTAGCCCTGAAAAGAACCAGCCAGGCTATAAGTAAATGTAACTCTTTAGTTCTATAGTTCTCTATCAATGTCTAAACAGTAAAGCCTTATTAATCTGCTAACCAAAACTCTACAGTCAGTTTAGTATTAATATTTTAGTCTACAACGGACGTACTCGATCTACATCTTCCTGCTCTGCTCGACAAACACCTGATGCCGCGTGGTCATTCAACGCCAAGTACAGCAGAAAGAAAGAAAGCTATCGTTGTCAACAAACAACCCAGTGAAGCTCTCCGTCTTTCTCTTCTTCTCCACTTTCCCTCACACCCTTTCCCTCAACTTGTGAGCTCATCAATTTGAAAATTACCCGTTTAACAACTACAAGTCAACACCACCACTCATGCAAGCGTTTAATACTTAACAGCCTCGGCAACTTATATCTACTTATGTAGTGGGGTGAAGAAAAACAAAAGTTTCTGACCGCCCCGGGTTATATTTCATTCCCCTACTAACCTAAATACCTACCATGCATATCGAGTCGAACCCCTGTTTTCTATTTTTTGTGTTGTTTGTATACTTTCTTTGTCAGAATGTAGAACAAGATATTGTTTGTCAAATAGTTATCAAAATATTTTTTGGTCACTAGAGTAAGGTCGGTATACACGTATAACCTGAGACCTGTAGTAACCTGTGTGCTTAGAAATCATGAAACTAGTTTTATTACTCATTTTGTATACACTTTGATATTTGCTATCAAAGATCATAAACAGACATTTTACTAATTTGGGGGTTGCTTTATCTTCTCCTTACAAAACAGAAACAGGCTATTTTCCATTGTCTCTCTTGTATTGTGTGATACTCAAACCCTTCTGAAAGTGTACGAAAGAGTTCTTAAAGGCATATTATCAGAAATACATTTTTGGATTGAATATTATAAAACAAGTTATTGTACACTAACTAGCCCCTTTATTAGGACTCGCTTATACACATCACTCAACCCACCAAGTTATTGTAAACTAACTAGCCACTTTAATACAACTCGCATATACCCCTCTATTCCAGTGACTCAGTGCTAAATCTAATGGGCAAAACACAGATAGCCCATAGTCACTGAAATTTGTAGAGCTCTCCTTGTCTTTGCTTGAGTAGATTAAACGTATCGTACGAAGTCAGGTGATAGTTTCAACCCTATATATGTTGTTATATTATAAATAAACAAAGAGTAAGAGCAACTACCTATCCGATTTTCAAAGGCATAAGACAGTTGTTATCAAAAACCGTACCCTTTGATCAATTATTTGGAGTCATTATAATATGTCAGCAGTATAGAAATCGAAAGAGAATACGCGTGCTTCTGGTGACAGTGGACAATATTCGACAATTTCAAACATTTCAAGAGAAAAATACGAAACTCTATAACCCGAGCGCTTTCAAAAGGTGGACCTTTTTTTCTTGAGTTTGCAACTAATGAAGAAAGGTAAGCTTGAACTGTGTTTCAATGTTTTCTTACTGACGAAAGGACAAAAGTGTGAAAATAACCTGGCGTGAGATATTTGACCCATCTCGTATTGTTCCGACAGTGAAGCTGTTGAAAAAAGATCTGGGAAATACCTCTGGTGGCAAGGATTGAGTCCTTTGGATTCTCGTAGAATGTACTTGAAACGTTATTCTTAACTTTGTCCATTTCAAATTGCTGTATTTCCATCCTTTCAAGACGATAGTGCAAACATCCAACACGCTCGTGTTATTAATCGAAATTGGTTTGAAGAGTTGAACAATTTTCAGTTTTCATCTTTGGCCAACTAGAAGCATCGGATGTTAATCCGATTAATAATCACTTCAATGAGCTTGAACATCACGTTCTTCACCATAATCCTCTGGCGAAATACGTTAATCTTTGGAAAATACGTTACAATCGAACAAGACAACTTCCGGTATCTTGTGAAGTCTGTGCCACGCTAAGTCTACTATTGGAATTTTAACTATTTAAGACCATATCAGGAACATATAGCATAAGCTTTAAAGAGGTTTTAAAGTTGTTTTTAAACCTCGAAAATATTTTATAGAATTATGAGCATTTAAAACAAAGAAGCCTAACAAGTTGTATAACATAAAGTGTTTCTGCAAAACGAAATTTTATATTGAGATCTATCTCTTTAAATTGTTACATGAGAAAATATTTCAACCCCTGACTTTAAATTTCAGTGATTTTAAAGAACATTACTGTGAAGTAGGACATAAACAGTGTATAGGATGTCGATCGTTTTCGTTACTGTGAAGTATGGATTTCCTTGGCACTTTCTTCAACACTCTTGGGTGTTAATTATTGAAGAAGTAAAAAGAGCAATGTTTTAGAATGTTTCTGTTGAAATGTTTCCCGCTATCGTGAAATCGTTCTTCTCATTTTGGAGTTTATGGGTGCGTTATAAGTGTGACGAAGAAAAATCCCAATATTCGATTAGAGTAGCTCAGTAGTTGGCGGTGTGTGCTGTTGATCAATTTCCTTTCCTCTGATCTACGAGTTCAAAATTAGGCACGGCTAGTATAATCAGCCCTAGAATAGTTTTGCACAAATATCCGAAATAAACAAAGGAAAATAGTTCATTCGTCTTTGTTTTATTTTTCACAGATTGGAGACAAAATCTTCCCGTTTTTTATATATAACACATGTCTTTCTATACAGTAAGGTGACTAATAAACACGTGAGATATATTCAAAACGAACATTTGAGACAACAGTTTTTGTTCCTTTTTTTCAATGAATTATTTGCTCTTTGTTTCCTGAAATTTCTATGAAATCGTTCATTTGGAAACAAATATATGTATATCACCTACTAGATGTATAGCTGTATATGCATAATTGTATAAACAAGTTTTTAAAGTTTTCACGAAAAAAAGATACAGACAGATAGATAGATAATTTCTTTTCCAATGTTAGGAAATGGAAGGTTCACTATTTCGAAAAAGAAAGAATGCCCAGCAAGTACCAGTGTGGAATAGAATGACGCCAGTGGATGTTCATAACGGGTGAGCCATGCATTTTACGTTCCTATCAGTTTCCTTGATATCTTTAAGAAGCTTCTCAGTCAGGCAGATTATGTTATATAGTTAGTATCAGTTTCCTTGATGTGTTTAAGAAGCTTCTCAGTTAGGCAGATTATGTTCTGTAGTTAGTATCAGTTTCCTTGATGTGTTTAAGAAGCTTCTCAGTTAGGCAGATTAT